CAGGACTTCTGTTGGAGAAAACTACCTTTCTTTTCTACAGATTAACTTCAATTACTATTTCCTCACGTTCATTGGTAGCTGTTACTATCTCACGAAACCGAGACGCGGCTATTCCATCTGTACGAGTTCCTTTTGCAGCAGGTAGCACCAAAGCTGCGTCTGGCCCTGCTCACACAGGCAGGCAGCAGGACAGGGCACAGAGCCCCTCCTGCTCAGCAAGGAGCGGGCGGAGGGGAACTGTTCTGCTGGGTGAGTCAGGGCAGAAAGCAGCTGGCGCCGCTGCACTGCCTGGCGCTGCAGCATCAGGCAGAACCTTTGCCCAGAGTCACCGTGCGATCCGTCTGATCGGATTCTTTCTGATTATCTGGGTGGAACTGGTGGAACGGTTTCACTTACAATAAAACGACTCTACCCGTGGAATTACCCTAATTGACTACTTCATTTAGCTCCATGTGTGGGCATCTTGATTTAGAATAAGAGTAGTTTATACCACAGGATAAAGATAAACAGAAATTAGGCAGCCTTGTTTTAGATATCTGTTCACACTCAGAATTACTGGGAGTAACTCAAGGTGTAGACAAGTTAACTATTGCTAATTTAAATTCTCTTGGAATGCCAGTTTATTTTTTGTGAAGAATTTGAAAGTTCTTTTCTGTTCTTTTCTTTCTTAAATATGAACCTTCTGTGGGAAAACAAGTGCAATGTTACTGACAATCCCATAATTAGGACACCAACATGTCCACTGTTTGCACATTTTTGGGGGAGAGCAGGAGAGCAGCATGCGTTATTACAGCAATCTGTTGCACTGCCTTCTGATCAGCACTCTGACTTCCTGTTATTGGAAAGAGGAAGGATGAAAGTGGAGAAGTAGAGATAGGATGAAAGAGATCTTCAATCACCCATTGCCAGGATGTGGTCACACGCTCAGAAGCAGTCAGCAGCTTCCACTGCTATTCCTAAAACAAATTCATACCCGTCGCGTAAATCTTTTTTGCTGACTTCTGGTTAAAGTTTGGCAGCAGGTTTTAAGGGCCGAGCATCTCTGCTGCACAGTGCTGAGTGCAGGACCACCATTCAAGGGGAGCAATCCAGTTTGGATAAGGAGAATTGAAGACGTTCCAGAGCAAAAGAGGCGCATTGAATGTCAGTATTAATAGTATTAGACATTACTGTGACAGACATAACTGAATACCAACCAAAGCCACTCACAGCTAACAGAGGGGTGAGGGGAGGTATTACTGAGCACACAGAATCTTAAAAATTGTACCATTTTCCAAATCATTATTAAAAATGGCAAATGCTTTAAAGTGTGAACACTTACACATCTGTGCTCAGAAGGTCACCTTCTCCTTCCTCCGCTCCCTAAGCAATGTGCAATCAAACAGCCGGTGAATCCGCAATGAAGACTTCTGTATGCCACTGAATTGAAAACTAGTTCAGGCCCACAGATCATTCACATTCATATATTCAAAATGAATAAACATTGAACATTTTCTCCAGATTTGTCCAATGCCAGAAAACACTTACCGTAATTCTGTACTTTGAACTTTTGGAGATTATTTCATCTTCTTAGCTTCCCTCAATCAGTATTCTCCCTTTACTTACAGTACACTGCTAATACTCGTGTTACATATTGGCTGTATGGGAGTGGGAGAATAGCAGCTCTTCCCAAATGATTCCAAATCCTCTCAGTTCGACTGTTCTATATTGGATTATGAGCCTTTTAAGTCACAACCTAAGTGAAAAGAAACAGATCTCTGATATGTCCAGGGAACGGTTCAGCTGTCGGGTGAAATGGCTCTGCACAGTGCTCTTCAACCAGGACTGCTGTGGGGTTTTACCAACAGCAGAGCTGAATTTAGGCATCCTCAGCCCCAGCGGTACCGATTCCCTCTTCAGTTCTTTGTATTCGGCCCCAGTGGCCCATAAGCATTTAACAAAACCCACAACAGAAGGGTTTATTCCCACCACAGATCAGTTGGTGGTTGTTGCAGGGCCTGTTTACACCATGGATCTAAAAACTGTTACTGTGTAACTGAGGGCAAAAAAGGGCATGAAGTCATTTTGTCACATTGCCATGGAGGAAAGGAGGAAAAATGTGTACGGAGCTGCCTCTTCCCTGGAAAATCATTGCTTAAAAACGTGTTACAGAATTGTCACTAAAATCACTACTACCTCATTAAGCTTGAATATCAAAATATGTTCAGTATTGTTTGTAGTTTACAGTTCAGTTCCACCACCCAGTCAGTGGCAGAGCACTGTGATCTCAGATGAACTCATTCAGTCAGAAGCGTTTCCTGTGTATTAATAAAAATGTTTTAAATGTGCAGCCGCTGTCGGAAGCCAAAGAAAGCCTAAACGAAGGCTCTCATCTCTTGCCGCTTGAGCTTTAAGGAGTTTCAGATACAACCACATTTACACACCCCGAATTCTGAGCGCATTTTCAGAGGGTCTGTTTTAACCAACCGGGGCATTTCCTGCAGGTTCTGGCTCTGGTTCATTCACAGAGCTCAGGCCTTCTGACGTTCAGAAGCACACCAACTCCAGCTCAGCAGAGCACATCTCACTCGTCCCAGACGAGCTCAGTTGTACTTAATTAGCTGTCAGGTTATGCATCCCGTTGTTGACATTGACCCTGGTGGGGGCAATGCTGTGTGTGTGAGAGGTTTGGCTACGTCTCCTCCAAGAGGAGCACAGGGGAGCTGGCTGGATGGTTGTACCAGAACACCTGCACCTGTGCTCAGACAGCTTGATGTCATCAGGCGCTGATGAACTTTCATGGCACTGCAGTTCACAGTTTGATATGAGTTATTGATTTAGTCTTTACCTATAATTAAATAGATTTGGGGGAAATTTAAAAAGAGCAACCAGCACTGCTTTGGAGCCGTGTGACGCTGATACTCGTATGGGCAAACAGAAAAGCTAACGGCTTGATCTTCTACATCATGCAGAGAAATAAGCATTACCTGTCTGCTGGCTTATCGAGCGAGCAGGGTTACTCCACACAGCAAAAGCCAGCTGTAGATGTAAATACTGTATGGTAAACTGCCTACCGATCACGTCTGTGCTTTTTATGCTGATTTATACATGACATTTCTGAGATGCCGACAGCATAAAGAACAGGTTTTGCTCTGAACACAGTGCATTTTCTTCTTCAGAAGTAACAACAATCAATAGTATTGCGTAGAATGAAAAAACAGATACTGAAATTTTATTGTCACTAAAAACAAACAAACAAAAAGACAATAACAACCACAACTCAATAGTGGATTGGGATTTGATGGGCTGATTCAATCCAGCATCATAATTATCTGGTCTTTATAAAAGCTGTTCCTGCCATGTTAGAAAATGTAGTATAGGTAACTTATGTGTGGGTTTGTTATAGAGAAGGTGGAAGTCAACAAACACATTTGTTCCCAAAACTTCATAGCATTGCAAGCGAAATGAGTCAGCAGAACATGATTTGGTCTTTGCATTGCAGCCTGCAGACACCCTGCAGGCTGGATGGGCTGTGAAACCTGAAGGAGCTCTGGGTGTCCCCATATTGCATTGGACTGACAGCCCTCAGAGGTCCCTTCCAACTCAAACCATTCTGTGATTCTATGACTCTAAAATATTCCATCCATCTCCAGGTTGCTCTGTACAGCTCTGCAGGTGTAGCCTAGGACCAACCTGCAGCCCACGCTTACAGGTGAGTGCGCACCTGGGGAACCAGGCAGCGGCCTGGCAGAGCTGGGGGATCCCAGCAGACATGGGACACGACCTGCTCCCACAGACTGAGCAGGAGAGCGCTGGATTTCAGGTGTGTGACCTCCTGAAGCAGGCTGCAGCCCGACACTGCTTCTATCCTGGGTGAATGCGGCAACCCTTATCTGCAGCCGCAGCACAGCACTGGGCGGTGCTGGCAGCAGGAGTGGTTTGAGCAGCCACCGATGGCACAGCAGGGCTGGGGGAATGCAGCTCTGTGCTCATGGTTGGCAAACATGCACATGAACAACAGCAGAGGGGTTTGGTGTGAGCTCCTGGCTAGAGGTGTGGCACTGACCCACAGATGGACGCAGCACTGTTCAGTGACAACAGCGTGCAGCTGATGATTTATTTGGGGTACTTTGCCTCCCATGGCCTCTATCACCCACTGGCGTGCTCCAGTGGCATCAGCTATCAGGCTGCAATCAGAAAGAGCCACACGTTGCAAACACTTGAATAAAGGCTGAGAACCGTAAGGAACCGGGTGGGATGTAAATGCAAAAGCTTGCCGTGCCAAAATAACCGGCGGGATTTCCTTGAAAGGAACTTCCTCTGGACAGAAAGTGCAAGGAAGCCCCGTACGAACAGAGGCGAGCAGGCAGCGCCCGCCACTCAACGCGCCCGGCCGGGGCGTGCGGGGCTGCAGGGCAGCGCGGCGGGCGCACAGGGGGGGCGCACAGGGGGGGCGCACAGGGCTCGCCGTGAGCGGCGTTCAGCCCTCAGGACGCGCACAGTGCGGCACGACGCTCCGGCACCGGGGAGCGACCGCCCACAGCCAGCGCCGCTCCGGGGCTGGGAGGATCTAACGGGGCTCGGGACACCGCAAGCCGCCCTGAGGAGCGCCGGTGCCCGAGGAGCCGCCCCCTAGCACGAGCAACGGGAGCACGCGGCCCCGCGCAGGGCCGATAGCGGCGGCGGGCTGGCGGGGCGGTAGCCGGGCAGCACCTCCCACAAGGGGCGGGCGGGCAGGAGCCGCCATTCCCGCACTCCGAGCGGAGCGGCGGCGGGGCGGAGCCGTGCTCCGAAGCCGCCAATGACGGACGGCCGCGGGCGGAGGGCCGCTCCGCGGGGCGCTCCCCGCCCCTTCCCCTCCTCTCCGCGCAGGCCCCGCTGCCCGCCCCTCCCCGGGGCGCGGCGCTGCCCGGCGGGGCTCGCCCGGCGCGGCTCCGCGAGGCGCGGCCGCCCCTTCTCCGCCCCGGCGCCGGAGAGCGGCCGGCGGGAGCGGCCCTCCTTCCCTCCGCGAGGGCGGGCGGAGAGCGGCGGCGCCGCGCGGGAGGCGCTCCGGAGCCATGCGGGAGTACAAGGTGGTGGTGCTGGGCTCGGGCGGCGTGGGCAAGTCCGCCCTCACCGTGCAGTTCGTCACCGGCTCGTTCATCGAGAAGTACGACCCCACCATCGAGGACTTCTACCGCAAGGAGATCGAGGTGGACTCCTCGCCGTCCGTGCTGGAGATCCTGGACACGGCGGGCACCGAGCAGTTCGCCTCCATGCGGGACCTCTACATCAAGAACGGGCAGGGCTTCATCCTGGTGTACAGCCTGGTGAACCAGCAGAGCTTCCAGGACATAAAGCCCATGCGGGACCAGATCATCCGCGTCAAGCGGTACGAGCGGGTGCCCATGATCCTGGTGGGCAACAAGGTGGACCTGGAGGGCGAGCGGGAGGTGTCCTTCGGGGAGGGCAAGGCGCTGGCCGAGGAGTGGAGCTGCCCCTTCATGGAGACCTCGGCCAAGCACAAAGCCTCGGTGGACGAGCTGTTCGCCGAGATCGTCCGCCAGATGAACTACGCCGCGCAGCCCGGCGGGGACGAACCCTGCTGCGCCGCCTGCGCCATCCTCTGAGCGCCCGCGGGGACGGACGCGGCCCCGCACCGCCCGGGCCGGGCACGGGGCGCCGCCTCCCGCCCGCCCCGCCGCGCTGCTCCGCTCCGGGCCGCGGCCGTAACGGGGCCGGCCGGGCGCCCCGACACGCTATGCAAGGTGGAGCGCGGCGCGGGGAGCGGCGCGTCCACCCGGACCGGGACCGGACGGAGCGCGGGGCGGCGCGACCGCCTGTGAAAGGATTCCCTATTTTGTTGACCTGCTGTATCCCGGGGGGTCCGCAGGAGATTGGCAGGGCGTTATTTTTTAATGGTTCTTTTTTTTGCGATCAGCTGTGAAAACGTTACAAGTCTGCACAATGTTTAGGTGTGCGTGCGTGTGTGATTTCGTTATTTTATCCCCCCCTCCGGTGGGTGAGAGGGGCGTTCCTTCCTTCCCGGGCTCTGTCTGGGTCGGCGCTGCCCGCAGTGCCCCGCTCCGAGCGGCACGGCCCCCCCGCCCCCCGCACCCCGTGCCCGCAGTGCCTTCCCCGCACCCCGTGCCGGCCGGTGCCAACCTGTGAGCGCCGCAGAATCCCCTTCTCTGCCACTCGGAACCCACACGCAGTTCCCTCTCAGTAATCGTGCCGAACAGGCCAGGACAAAAGGGCCCATTGTTGGTGGGATTTATTTCTTGTTTCCACCCGAGCCTTTTAGCTGTAATTTCCACATCTTGCAAGTTTGGCCTTCATTTACTTCAAATTTGTGAGAATTCAGCATTTTGGGACTCGGTGGGCTTTTTTTTCCGCCTCCTTCTTTGTGTTTTATGATGATTGTTGTGTGGGGTGAACCTCCAGCCAGCAGCGGAAGAAATCTCAACATTGCGACGTACCAAGAAAATTCTAACACCTGTCCTTTTGATTCCAGACTTGCAGTTAAGAGATGTCTATCCATTTTAAGAATTTTAATACAAATGCTGTTTTTTAGAAAACAACTTTGTGCGCTTCTGTGTACTACGTGGAACAAACGTTAATTGTTAAAGGTTAATTACATCGGCTGTTAATCCTGGTTCATAGCATAGTCACAGTAAGAAGGGTGTGAGGGGCTTCATTTAGCTGAGGATGGTGTTTAAACAAAACGGCCAAGTGCCGAAGCCCAAGATGACTGAATTGCCAGTGGAACAGTAAGACAGAATTTCACTTGTGTTTGGGTCCCAGTGAAGGCAGCCGGCGCGGAGCACTGCGCTCAGCGGGCAGCTGTAGGAAGCCCTGTGCTGTAACAGCAGTGTCTCAGAAGGTTAGCACCCTGTTCTTCGCTATGGGCGGCCTGGTTTGGTAGAGCAAGAGTCTGAAAGTCAGTTATTTATGACATCTCCGCTTTTCATCTCTTTGCATTTTAATGCCTGGAAATTGTGGTTTCCTGATTTGAAGAGGGAGTGGGGTGGGAGGACGCTGTACCTTCAGTGAGCTGGAGCACCTGGGCTTTGCTGATCTCCTTTACCTTTCTCTCTCAGCTCCTCTTCAAAGACTAGCGCACAAAAAGTGCAGCTTTCTCTCCCTGCCGAGAAAACCTGAAATTGTCTTACTGTGTGAAAGCAGAAATTGAGCAGTGCTGCATGAAGGGTTTTTAGTTAGGCCAGCGCGATCTGGCTGCCTCGATGCCCAACATTGATCTGATCATTTCTTCTTTTAAGTAGGAAAGCTTTCTGCTTCAGCGCTGGCAGAAGTGGCTTTTGTTAAATTCACCCCAATGATTGACATTAAAATTACAATATTATGTTTTAGTTGAAGATTGGGTATTGATTTTAGCAGCATCCAATACCTACTAAAAAATTGGATGCCGAGTATTAGGGGCTTCTTTTAACAGGAATGATGCGTTGGAAAGAAAGCTTGACTGCAGGCATATCTTGCACTGAAGTTTACGGAAGAAAATTTGCCATAAATTCACATCTCAGCTATTGCGATGGTCAACGTTTGCCTTAAATTCAGTGAGACTTGTAGTGTTCAGCACCTAACCGGCCTCGTGCCAGATCGATGTATTGAAAGCAAGTCGTTCAGCTTGGTAAAAGCAGTTCTCTGCAGCAGACAGCAGATCTGTCATGTTTCGTAGTGCCTCCTGTTTTCCTGTTGCCCGTGTTGTGATTGAGGAATGATGTACAAATGGATGTTAGCAGCATACGGTGGGACGCAGAGTCTCGTGTTCCTTAGCCTGGCAGAGCAGCTGAAGGCAACTAAGGAAACTCTGGACTGTGCTGGCTTTTTTTGTAGCTCTACTCTTAATTCTTGCCAAAAAGGGGTGTTCGTCAAACGGCGAAGGATTAGAGAAACCATGGCGTGGGTCTGACGGAGTTCTGAATGTATTGAGGTGTTCAGTGTTCTCTATGCCTTGGTGAGGACAGCACAAAAGTAGAACTCAGTGTTTGATCTTCCAAATCCTCTGAAGTGTTCTGGTGCTTGTTAAACATAGGCCTTGTCTATCAAGTAGAAACAAAATCACACTGCTTTAACTTGACTGAATAATGAAAGCTATATTTGCTTCTACACTAGAAAAAAAATGTTGTATCAATATGAAGGTACTCTTTTATTCCTTTTCCCTGTGGGAATATATTATACCAGTGCCAATACAAAGGTGGTATATGGTTCTTTTCACAGTGAGAATTGCAAAAAATGTAATCGATTTGGAAGAAAAATTACATTCCCAGCCAGAATACTTCCTGACAGTGCAGAAATTGTATAAACAAGGCCTTGGTTTAAGGCTGGTCTTATGACCACATATTTTGCTGTACATAATGATGGTATTTTTAAAAATCCAAGCTTGTTCTATCGTCAGAAAGCATGCCTTTGAAATCCCAGTCTCTGTGATTGTAACCATGCCGTATTCCGGACTTCGTTGCAAATACAAGTGTGGTTCTTCCCAACCCCGTGCTCAGGCTCTGTTGATGTGTGCAGTTCTGAGGGCGGTGCTCAGTGCTCTGGCTGCGGGACTCCTGGAGGTTCTGCTGCTCTCAAAAGAATGTGTGGCAGGCTTTTGTCAAAGAGCATTTATTTTCAATAAAGGGCAGCTGGCTCTTTGTGACTTCTTCATCTGGATCCTCCTCGCGTGCAGGTGTTGCTGAGTTTCGCGTTTCCTCGAGGAGTGACAAAATGCAAGACCTTCCATTTTCTCCAAGAGCTTTGTGTGAAAAGGAGTGGCGTCCTTGAATCCCCTGCCGTTCAGAGTAATGGCAGCTCCCCTGGGCGGCCATGGGAAGCGTTTGGAGCAGCGTGCCATTAGGAGCCCTGTGACTCACATGAGTAGAGCAGGCGGCCCGGGAGCCTTCGTGGCAGAGCTTTGCTGTACCCTGGAGGACTGCTGCCATCAGCGCCCGTCCGTGGGCTGAAGAGAGACTGCTCTGGAAGCAAGGATGTGTGTGCGCTGTGTCAAAGGTGGGATGGTCTTCAGTAATGGCCTTCACAGCCCAGAGCCTCCTCAGCAGCATTTATAGCTTCATACAGAACGTCTACGTCAAAAAGGCTCTTCTGTCATATTGCTGTAACATCGTGGTCTGAAATCTCATTTTTTAGGAATTCAGCATCTGCCTGACTCCTAAAATCTTTTATTTGGAAGTGAGGAACTCTGACAAACATATGCACACGTATGAGAGTGATGAAATAGCGATGGTTCGGACGGTTAAAGGTGCCTGAGTGAGCTGAGCCCAGACACCTGGGGTGCAGCACTGGGCCGCCTTGGTTTGGCTTTAACTACTCCTCACACTGTGCCAGTCTGTAATGGAGAAACTCTCTGTTTCCCAAGGAAGAGTGGTTGTGTGTGGTGTGTGCTTGTGTGTTTCTTCTGACATGGCTGGAGTCAAAACTCTCATCCTTAGCACCAGCGACCTCAGCCTCTGTGGTCTCCGTGCTGCACACTGTCACTACTGCACGGAGAAAACACGCAGTGAAACCTGAACTGCTCGAGAGATGCTGCCATTAAAATTTCTCTGTAGCAGTCTTATTTTTGGGGGGTATGAGTACTCTAACCAAAACATTGGGTGCTGATATAATATTGTTGATGCCAAGCGTGGTGATTCAAGTAGATGACATACTGTGCAAAAACCAAACACTATAGATAAATACTTAATCTGCAAAATCTAACATGTCTTAGATCCTATCTAAAAGACTGTAAAATTAGAAGTGAATTAACTAGAACTTGTAAGCTGTTCAAGTAAGTCTTAAAAGATTGGAAGCAGCTGTTGTGCAGTAACTTTAATATCTCCACAGCATCTGGGTCTTTGGGAAGTTTGGGCTCAGACAAGGCTAAGTGGTCTGGAGTCCAAAGCTTTGTTTTGACAATCTGGGCAGAGGGAGGTTTTTAGAGAGTGTCAGACGTGTAACTTCAGCTTTAGTGATTTAAGAAAACATTTTACTTCTACAAAATTCTTTGGTTTTGAGGGAACATTATAAAAAGTGCCTAATGAATAGATCTAAAGTCCAGGTAATGAATTTCAGATGTTTCTGCTGCAAGAAATCCCTTGGCAAACAGTCTGATCAGTGACACTGATTTTGGTGGTGTATGGGAACTGCTGAATCATGGCCTGAGCCTCTGATTGACCACCTGAGGTGAGCCGTGAATCAGTCCTGGGAGCACAGGTGAAGGCAATTCTCCTGTGCTGGGCTGCGCCTCTCTTAGAGCCCATTTAAGAGCTGACTGCCACAGGGAAAGGGTCTCTCTTGGAGGTTGCTCCTCCTGGAGTCTTCTCAGTGAGCCCACGACAAGGGTAAGCTTTTCATCCATTCTGCTGTGGTGTGCTAATCTGTTTATCCAAACTTTTCTGTTAATTTCTTAATTATAACATCTGTATATTCATTGTTTATACAGGTGGGTTGTTGCCTTTTTGTGTTATGGCACTAGGATGCAATGGGATGCTTGAGGTTATTTGTGAGGATGGTCGTTAATCAGCTTTCAGGGAAAAACAACCCACCAAAGAAGTGTTTTCCCTTTGAATTGGGAATTGAGAAAGGTGCAGGCCAGCATTTGTATCAGTATTCCTTTGCCAGTTTCTCTCTGGTATGTC